AGGAGTGGCAGCTTTCGTCATTCATTCCAGCATTTTAAAAAGGTGCTATATCTTAATGCTAGAATCAATGGGATACCAATCCAACCACTATCGCTCCTAATTTGCTCACAGGTATTACCCATGAAGGATTGAGAGAGACAGTGGCGAAAACCAGCCGGGTCGTGGACGCAATCAAAACACCTTTAAGTTTCCACAACTTCTGCAGCACCGCCACACGAACAGAAGGCAACAACTGTTGTCTTTCTGCGTCTGAAAGCGGCGTTCGACTCGGCCGATCACACCCGTTTGTGGCAATGCCTCGAATTTGTGCCAAACGTTTTCATCACACTTCTCCAGTCTTATTGCTCCAACACCCACTAGCACACAAAAGTTTACACAGAATATTCTCCAGAGTTTGTCATCAGTCAGGGCCGACCTTTTCTAACTTCCCTCTTCAACTACGTAGTCCAATCAAGTGTCGAGGAAACGCTCACCGTATCATTCGCCCTTTTCCAAGGAGGACCTTAAAGACGATATCATGTTACGTGGTTCAGATTCTGCCCAGGCACACTAGATAATGTTGCCATGCGATTCGGTAAGCGATTTGCACTTTCAAGGTGTAAAGTGCTGCCACAAGATCGGTCGGGTCATGGTATGAAAATCACCACAGATTTACCTATCTGGGTAGGTGCATCGGTTAGGATAGCAGTACTTCTGACTAAGTGAATGCAGGAATGGCTAGAGTTCGGTCTGCTTTCTTTCAAACAAAACACCTCTGGGGTTGACGTGATAATCTGTCGATGAAATTGCATCGTGTTGCTTTACAGCTGAAGCATGGCTACAGTAAAATGAGGGCAAAAGAAGAGTTTGCCTTGAAAATCGGTACTTAAGAATTCATCGTAGCACCCTTTCAGGTCCGAGCTGCCATGCCACACGAAGAAGGCAAGAGGGCTGGGATACTGCCAGGTCGCCCAAGCCTAGACAGGGGAAGTCGAGTGGCAGAGGTCGGGCTCGAACCACGGACCTTCTGGTCAGTAAATTCGCGCTCCATCTCGGCCCCCCCCCCCCGGTACTTACGAAGCATTGCATATGTATTGTTAAAACGTCGGAGTAGTGACAAAAATGCTGCTTGTATAACTGAGAAGTTGCTTCGGCTGCATTAGCTTCGCTGGGACGGTCGGGTGCTCCTTACTCCGTATCGTATGCTCATACAAGCACCGACTGGAAAATATCACAATGCACGATCTGCAGGCGGAGTATGAAAACATAACCGGGCGTCTTGGCTGAATTGGTACATGCCGTCTGCTAGTTCTGGACACCGAAGACTCACTACATCAGTAGTTGGAGGCATTCACCAACATGGCGATGTTGCATTTGTTCTCTTGTTATTAATCGTTAACCCGCTGTTCTTTTTTGTTTGTTTTTCCGCATTCCCTCTATTCGATATTGTCCGCTGTCATAAGCTGCGGCGACCCGACCCATCATGCACATGGCTCGCGGTTGTCAACTTAGATTGTAGTGCTGAGTGAAGCTCTCAAGTGAGGCACATGCCGCTCCAACGATCACAAACAGTTCGGCTGCGTAATTCAGGCGATGAAAGCATCGTAATTAACTAGTTTTTGTGTGAAACATTATCGTTCGCAACAACTCAGGGACGCATTTGAGTCTCCCAAATGAGTGTGGGACTTCGCACACAAACACTACTTGACAAAGTATAGTGATCGAGTGAGAAACGGATTTTGACAAAATGAATCGTTTCACCAAGCATAGACGAAGTTTTTCGACCATGAAGTGCAAGCAAAGCAAAACTGGTGAACGGATTATCCGTGGAACCGATTAGTTTCTGTGGGAATAAGATAGAGGCACAGTTTTTGTCGGATGGGGTACAAAAAACTCGGCATCCGTGTAAAAACTTACCTTGTCCAGACCGGTTAGTTGATTTGTTGTTGTGAAGACTAGGCCGACTGTACACGCTTTGAACTCGACTGGACCTCCGAGAGGCAGGCCGATCACTGCGACCTGGTTCGTTTACTTCCTGTACAGACTGTGATAAGTGCATCGAAGCGGAACGATCTCGGGCAGTATAGCTGGGACGCATATTGGTTGTGATGATCGCCTGATCTATCGACTCGCTCAGTCGGTTTTTTTGTCGTGGACGCGAACCCGAGTTGGTCCGCATGTCAATGACTGAGGAGGCCAGCATGTTACGAGTTCGTGACGTCGCGCTACCTGCGCTCAGTCGTGACTGGGGTGGATTTGGATGCGCGCTAGCAGTGTTGAAATTCACTGCATGGGATGAACGAGACGACTCTTCGTGAGAGGTTCGAGAACGTCCGATAGCTGCACGATGATTGGTAGGTGTGTTAGGACCCGCGGAAGCAGTTTCGCCCCGGGTGGGGGATATAGATGAACGAAGTTCAGCCTCCGCTACGGCCTCTTTGCAAGCTCGAATACGCGCGACGAGGTCCTGCGGAAGATAGCACAACTCTAGAAAAATAAGAAAACGGGGGTCAGAAAATGTCATAACACCGAATATGGATTTGGAAGATACTTGTAGGCACCGAAAGGGTGCTACAGCTGAACGACGCAGGTCTCCTTCAGCTCAGAGCACTGAAAAGGGCGTCAGAGCTGAACTAGTTGATTTACACGTACGTGCTGCCCCTTCCCTCAGGAATGTGCTTACCGGAGGAGAGTGGAACAGCTAGTTCTTGAAATTATATACATCAGAGATGGTCCAAACAAGATTGCGGCTCGGTTGCTGTAGAAGAAACGTATTTACTACGCAAGTGTTAGTCTCTAATAGAAAAGTGCGGTGTATGGTTTGTCGGAGAACTAGCAAGTGTGCAAGTCATTGTTCACGGACTTCGTACATGTATATGAACACCGCTGATTGCGTACAAGGCAGCGCTACAGACACGCATAGCAAATCCTGCTCTGTGCAGTCATGGCTACTGATCAACGCCAATGACGGTTGGGCGTAACAGTGCCATCCCGATGCACAGTCTAACTGGGGGAGACAATGGAGCGCAATTTCGATCACCCGTCAATGTCTTCTCGCCAACTCTAGGGACACAAAGCAACACAACTGAGTGCCGTATTCCTGTCGCTTTCAACCCTATTTCGGCAATTGCTATAGCTTAGAGGAATTATGACCCGTTTTAACCCCAAGGGCCGAACGAGCGGTAGCATAGCAGTTGCGGATCACTGACGAAACCAATAAGCGCTTAGATGGACGGTGGAACCAGGGTTTTCAGCAGCAGGCTGCGAAGGGGAGCGGAATCACGTTCACGGCCCGGGACAGCAAAGCATGTACACCGCTGTTAAAGGATTTCGATGAAAGAGAAAGTGGGGTTCAGTGGCTGCCCAGGACTAACCAGGGTAATCGTGTTGGGGCAACAAAGAGGACTGTTCAGACGAGAGCGATATGAATAGGTCGGTGGGAGCGACCGATCTGTTTGGCCACAGAAGCTCAGGATTAATCCAAACGCACATGCAAACAAGGAGCTATGGTAATAAGTGGAAGTGACCCATAGGGTGAAAGAAAGATCAGTAGTATCCACGAAGGAGATCGCTAGCTGTCAAAATTCACAAATTTGAATTCACACAAAACCTATTTGAACGTCTACTCTTCAATGAAGTTAGCAAAACTACTGGCCGTTGGCTACGGGAACATTGTAATTCTCTTTTATGGACGTAAAGAGGTACCCCACATTTTTTAGGGAAGCTCCCGGATCCGAGAGAATTCACAGTTAACATCGAGGGTTACAGAAATTTGAGGCTAGAATGTGTTGTGGGGTTCTGTGGGTGTAAATTGCAAAAACCTAGCAGCCGAACCAGAGATAAAACATCTTGACCTACCAGATTCGGTGAATTCTGTGGGAAATTGCGGTGCAGGTTTGCCACTGGGCAAATGCCCTGTGGCATTGGGTGGATGACCGGGTGGTGGGAAAATCAAATCTGCGAAAAAGCTATCCGCCAGTATATCGGCAGCACTCGAACGGACCTGAGGACTGTAGACCAGCAACTTTCGGAGGACGGAAAAGGCTGAGTCATTGGTACGATGCCGGATAAGCTGGAATAAATTCACGGCGTGAGAAGGGTGAGAAAGTGAGCACAAGTTTCGACATCGGGGAAAACCAAGTTTAAAAGCATCAATCTGTGAATGAAATTACCGCACCAGCAGTGAAACTGGATACTGGTATTTGGGCTGGATTTACAGCTAGTTGAGGAAATGGATGTCGGTCTGTTCTCGAGGTTAGCTGTCGGTTCGCATACGTTGCGGCGAGCACGCCAACATCCACCTCATCAAATACCGGACACCTGAACTTTACAGACCTCTTCGATTGTGCGCGAAATTTCCACCGTTCCCAGCTAGAACAAGTGGGGAAAGCAGTCAATGGTTTGAGTTGGATCATGTGGCTACCAGTTGCCAGCAGATAGCTTCAATTGAAGATCGCCGTTAAGTCTGAGATGCCCAATTCCGATTATGGCATCAGGCGAGTTCGTCTATCAATTCACTTTCTCTCAAGACAGTCACCCAGGTGATCCTCTTTAACAAGGTTCTGCGGATCAAGCACATCGAGCCCGTCTGGTTGGAAAGCTAATGGATATGCGTAAGCAAGCTGATGATGATGAGAACGTGGTGGATAAAAGGAAGAGTGAAAGCCGCGCACTCATCTCTCAAGATTCCCTGTTCAACTCATCTTACTCGATCAAACGAACACTGGATATTGTCAAGGTCAACAGCTCTTATTGATGGGAGAAAAACAATCCGTTCAGTTCAGTTCAGCGTTTTAGCTCACAAATCGTGCAGTATTCGTTCACCGAGCACAGGGAGAATGGGGTAAAGACAGCTACACGTTGCACGCGATAAACCGATCAGTTCACTGACATCAAATGGCTCTGTATATCAGGCATGACAGGGCGTGAGAACCGTGCAGCGAAGGCGGACGCTTTGATGCAAGACCACCATCGGCTGCATGACACAGCCATACTTGCAATCCACTTCCGGGGAAACGGTAGTTACGGACGTGGTTGAGTTGACTAGTAGGGTTTTCATGGTTCGTTGACACATCATAGACTAACAGCACCGGGTCTTCTCCATCCGATACAAAGCTGGGAGAAAGTTGTACGAGGCAAGCACTCCTCTGGCATAAGAAGTACGCGACCTAAGTAGCGTAACCTTGAGCTCAAGATACCTCACTCGTTAAGGCGCGAATTTACTGACCGGATGGTCTGCGGTCCGAACCCACCCCGACATCTCGACCACTCCTGTTCAGGCTTAGACAATCTGACAGCATCTCAGTCCTCATGCTTTCTTCGGGTGGCAGCTAGGCATTGAAAGGGTACTACAGCTGAACGGTTGTATTTACTTATGACCAGCTGATCTGTTCCGAAAATCATCTGGTACGCTCCAACATAACTGACCTGATGTCCCCATTAGACGCGAGCAACGCTTCGGAGGCACCTATGGTCAAACACAGTCTTTGAAGGTTTTCCACACACAGTGGCTACGTCTCCTCCGGTCATCCTACCACATTTGGAACAAGAACAGAGCGTCCGGACGGTGATTACAGCCTTCAAAAGGGCGAGTAAAAATATCATGCAAAGACCACAGTGGCATCAGCCGTATAATATGAGACGCTCTCCAGTATTACCTTGAGTATGTCGGCCGATTACCACAAGAGGCAAATGCGAGGGAACCAAGCTATGTTTCGCTCCGAGCCGGGACTTAACTGGCCACATCATCACTTTGAAACAGGCGCTCTTTAAAAACGACTAGCAGTGACAGGTTTTCTTGATCTGAAGGCTCCGTTTGACTTTGTCGATCACCCAGGAATTACGGTAGTGTCGTACCGTGACCAAATGCGTCTCTTCTATGTATGGTAGGTACCAGGTGGTCAAGTAAGCCCGCTAACTAGCGCCCTTCCATTCAAACGACCCCCTCTTCAATACAATCGTGCAGCTGTCCACGGGACTCGCAGGTGTCAGTCTATTCGTCCCTCCACGGCACGACCAATTCTCTAATACTAGCAAATTGGTTTGGATGTAACGAGATTGTAATAGAGGATGTACTGCATCTGTAAAAATACGATATAAAAACTGACAAGAGAGCAGTCCAAAGGGGTCTTTTTTGGTTGTTTTAGACGTGTCCATTTTGAAGCCGTGGGGAGTGGACTGTGAGAATTATTATAAAACCTAATTCACAGCATCACCGCGATTCATTAAAAAAAACATGGTGCTTAGACTATTCAATAACAGAACGGCTTCTGGTTCAAAGTGTATAGAATACCATGCTCTCGCTAAGGAAAACAACTCCATCGACGATTTCCTTGATATTTTTATTTGTAGTTCTTTTCATTAGATTGTCCCATCCTTAGCTGTTTGGTGGACTCGAGGACTTTGGTCAACGAACCTAGAATGAACTCATTGGAGGTCAGAAATCAACTGAGTAGAAGCACACAACAGGGAGTGACGTCAAAAACGAATACTCACCTTTTCCCAAGGACAGCCACTGATATTGGGAAATTTGAATTCACTGTACTGTGGATTCATCTCTAAAATCTGTTCGGGAGTCGGTGTGCCCAAGACTTTGATGATCTCCACCAGCTGATCCACGCCTGAACCACGGGAAAGAGGGGGACGACCAAGAAGCAGCTCACCGATAACACAACCAGCAGACCACATATCTGGAACACATGACATTCGGTAATTACCGTGTTACAGAGGGGTTGAAAGGCGCCCGAGCACGAGCTGAAATGCCTAACGAAACACTTTTAGTAATCAGAGGGAATATGGTTAGTAGCCTTCGGCATCATTCTGTCAGCCACCTTTCTTTGCTAAACTAGAATAAATTTGCCTGGGGTTTTTCAAGTGTTACACGACCGAGAGCAGCTTGCTTGGGCAAGGTGCTGCCTACGCAGGATCTCTTTGAGCCGAAAGCTAGATGTTCACGTACAGACTTCCGAGTAAGGTTTGCTGCGTTGATAAACTCTCCTAAAAGCAGATCGATGGGAACCCACAATCTTGATGAAAATGTTCGAACGAATACTCTCGTTCTGGAGTCTCAGTCGGTTGGTTTTACCTATGTGCACTCGTAGCAACGCTAGTCGGTGAACCTTCTTCAGAGGTTGAAAAACTGTACCAGGATGACGTAATACACATTCCGACGGAGGCTTCTATGCATATGCATTGTCGAAAAATGACTACACTCGCACACGTGAGAGTTGCTGGCAGAATCCAATGTGACAAGAAGTCGTCAGCAATGAACAAATTGGCACTGTATGATTTATAGGCATCAGTCAGGGGTGATGGGTTTTAATTGCGAAGCTGACGGGAACAGAGAGAGAGTAAGAGCCTCCTTCGAGAAAGACTGTATCGAACCAACTGGAACAGCGGCGAAAAATAAAATAGAAAATACCCCGTAAGTGTTTTCACTGGCAACGATTCACATGTACCAAAGTCCGAACGGTTTTCGGAATGAAATGATTAATTCCAAAGTCAAAACACCCGCCTCAGGTCGTGAGAGACAGTTGCCACTCGTATGTTTGCTCAGCGACAGACGACTCAATGTAGGGAGCATCAGTACTGGACTTAATGCTTCTATAACACGTTGCCAAGCGATTTTAAGACAGTCCTGTTATGGTGAATAGAACAAAAGGGAACTAACGAAGTCTAGTGTTAACCGACATTCCAAGATACTCAGGACAAAAAAAAACAAGAAGGGTCGACAGATAAGGGTTGCAAAGCCTAGATGTAGTCTTTGGAATTTCCACTTGTGTACAAGCTACTGTGATTTGCCTTGATGGCGGTTGAGCGAACCGCGGGCGAGATGGACCAAGTGGTTAGAGCGCGAATTTACTGACCGGAAGGTTCGTGGTTCGAACCCGATCTCTGCCTCTCGACTTCCCCTGTCTAGGCTTGGGCGACCTGGCAGTATCCCTGCCCTCGTGCCTCCTTCGTGTGGCATGGCAGCTAGGCACCGAAAGGGTGCTACAGCTATACGATTTAGTTGAGCGAACCATTCCCCGCGGTTAGGAAACTGCTTCGCAACAGGAAACTTTCCCCAGTGCAATCAACCTCAAGTGAAATAAATCCTTTGGTCACTTCCAACAGAAATCCCAGTAACTCTCCCGCCAAATGCCTGGTGCTAATAGCCATGTTGCTAATTTACTATCGTTCGCCATCACTGACAGAAGCATCATATGAGAACATCGGTACATCACCGCCATGCAACCATGTCAATTAATTTGAATCAAGCCTAATGATCAGAAGAAATGAGGCAGGGACAGAGACCTAGGGTTGACCTGCAATAANAGGCAGGGAAAGAGATCTAGGGTTGACCTGCAATAAACGTCGAAGGTACCCAGTCCGATAGTCTGGCCACAAACTGACAGCATGAATGATACCGGCCAGCGGCCGTATCGTTCGGTGCCTCCAGCCGAGCACAGGGAGGGTCACATGGACCAAAGCCAGGAAGGCGAACAGCACCAACGGCACCTAAACCTTTCACAGCATCACTTATGCCCCCCCCCCATCAAATTATGTCTATCTCTAGTTCTCCACTACTCCGAATTAGGCACGGAGAACAACACTCGAAAGGCGGTAACTCGGTATGGGTAACACCTAGTCCAGCTTGCAGTGTTGGATCATCATCATCAAAGACAGCAACATCAGTGCTGGCACTGATGGCCTATGTCAAGCATACTGAGGTGCCTACACCTCCAACCGCCCAATCAGACAATCTGGAAAGAAACTGACAGTACGAACGCCACTGACATCGACTAGCCCCCGTTTCTTGCATAGGCGCGCATCTTAAGCGCCGCTGAAAGGCGCAAATGGGAGTGGTAACAAACAGTTATATGATCCAATCAACACAAATATTTCAAAACAGGCGACAACTAGTGGTTGACCCACACCATTTATAGCTAGTGACGATGTGGAGGTTAGCTGGGATGCCGGGGAACGCCACGTGGCCCAGAGGCTTTGGTTGTTTTGTTCAGATGTAGCACCCTTCCGGTGCCTAACTGCCGTGCCACCCGAAAGAAGCAAGAGGGCTAGGATACTGTCAGGTTTGAACCATGGACGGTAAATCCGCGCCCCAACCAATTGGTCATCCCGTTGTGGTGTAAGCAGATATAGTAAACAGACAGCGAGTATCGGAGGATTTACGGGATAATTTCACAGACGTTGCCAAGCAAACAGCACAGAGGCGACTATCAAAGGGCAAATACTCAACCAGAGACCCATCAGCTCGGTGGCTAAGATCAACACCAACCCCAGAACCATACGCAGCGCCTTGCGTTTTGAATCCTCGTTTCAGACAGGCAGCACACATAGACAGAAGGCGAGTCCAGAGTACGCAAAAGAGCATTCCGGCTTGCTTCAGAGTGCGAATGTCAAACACCGCCAGATGAACTGAGTAATAGGGTCTGAAGGATAGTTTCGAAGCACCTGTGGTCGTGCCGGCAGCTAATAACAATGGGCGCCGAAGGGATCTGTCAGTCCTTTAGAATGTCGATATCAAAACGGCAGGGGGGGGGGAGAAGAGTGAATGCATGATAGGGAAAGAACGGAGGCCTTTTTTCCCTCACCCACCCAGTTGTAGGCAGCAAGTAAGGCTGATGGTATCACACGACGGCCGGTGTGATGTTAGGATATTCCAGAGCGTGGAATTCGTAGTTGTATGTGAGATCGAATACTTCTGGAGCGTCCAAACTCAGACAAGAGGATGATTATAATTCTCAACCAAAGTCTTTGGCATGAGAACGTCATAGCAGTCTAAATTTTGAAGGGGTAAGTCACTACCAATCTTCCAACCCCCAACTTAGAGGACCAGAAGACCTCGGACCAGTGACTAACACGGTATGAAAGCTCTGTGTGTATCAAGCGAAAAAAACTCTCCAGTATAGTTCGCACAAATGGTCACAGCGCTGTAAGGTCCAGTCTCCTTGTGACGGGACTTTTCCAGTCAACACACACTGAAGCCAACGGAGCTCGTAAACAAGATTAATTAAAGTTCGATGGTAGTATCCATCAGTAGGATTGCATTGATTTGATGGGATACTACTTGAGGGGCTTATGGAAGCTTTTACATAGCCCACTACAGGTTTGACCCTGCCTTGAAGCCCGCCGCACAGGTGCGGTCCCCGAGTTTTTATCAACCCTATTTCCCACTTGACACCAAACCAGATGTAGGAGAAAGTTGGTGCTGAGTCGCGAAACAGCGGTTTCTACGGGAAGCTCAAACGAATCTTTCGCTTTTGTTATTATTTAATCATGTGCAAACCCCGTCTTCGTATAGCTAAGTTTTGTGGGTCTTGTTCAAACCAGGAAAGGTAGCACGAAAAGTTTTCGTTCGTAACTATCCTTGTAATGGCAGATAATGATCATGCATATTCACTGTGTTGACAAAAGGTTGTGAACATAACCAATGAGACAATTTGACACGTTGCTCCATACATGTGGGCAGAGTGGGGTTTTCAATACTGCGAACGTGTTGGCACGAGTCATTGCCCCGGGGATATCGGCCCTTAGCTACCCGAAAGTCGCAAATCTTCGGTTTTCAGTGTCACTTGGGCGGCTGTTGAAAGCCACAGACGTGTGCTAAAGCAAGTGTCTCACCCCGTTTTCGAACAAGGAATTAGAATAGACCGTCCACAGAAAACGGAACAAGAATGGAATCAATCAATCAGGGAAGCTTACCGATCAGCACGGTGTAATGCGTCGCGCCGAAAATCAACTCCGGTGCCCGATAATAACGCGAACAAATGTAGGACACGTTCGCCTCTGTCGGACTGAGGATTTTGGCACTAGCGAGACGAGAAAATGGGAAAAAAGGAGATGGATGAGTGGATACTGTGAATTCACCGTTTTATTTGGAATAAAGAACCGAGGACTGGGTTGAAGCCGAGTAGTTTTGAAGCAGTATTTAATCGTGATATAACATGATTCCGAACTAAAGAAGCAAAGTTCGCAAACTGCACGAGATGCTAGTGGGCATTTGTACAGCGCGCCGTTCATACTGGTAGGCTGAAAGACGTCAAGACCAAACAAAAATTAGATGGGTTAACTCCTCCAGACCATTGTTTATAAACGCCGAAAGATGCTCGGGATTTCGGCCTCTTTGAATCTCGATCGAGGGCTGCTACCAAGATTTCGGGGATAACATTGACTGTAACGTAATAAGTCGGAGTTGAACTATCGCGGAAGATCAATGGAGCAGTAAGACGATGGACGGCGATCTCTCGTACGACAATCAACTGTAGTAAAAGGGGGTCTGCGGGCAAAGTTGTACTGTTCCGAGCACAAAGCTGCCACGATGTTTGGAAGTCGAGCTTGAATGCCGCAACCGTCCTGCGAGCTATACTGGCTGGAACTCAGTTCCACAAGGTTCAACTATGCAAGGAGGATGGAAGGGGAGCAGTCAGACGAACAGCGGCGGACTTCATGCTATGTGTATTCGCACTGCGAGGTTTGAGAAAAAGGCCGAACTGTGATGGGAGTATGAAGGCAGTAAGGTGTTTCCCTCAGGCGACCAGCATACCAATATTTATGGGAGCAACAATGCTGTTTTTCACCGAGAAAGAACGGGTTAGAAAATGTCGTCACGGAAAACCACACAGCCTGATGGCCCAACAGTTGACAGTGACCGCCGCTGCATTATTCAGTAAGGTCGACTTACTTCTAACACCGAAGGGACTGGTGATGCTCAGAGAATACCTGCAGTGCGTATGCGCAGTAGAACTTAGCATCGATCTAAGCTAGCACAATTACTTTCTACAGTAAACCAACACTATACTGGTGGCGGGCATGTGGACGAAGCAGGGCAAAATGTGGGAGGAGCTACGCTAGCGGCCTTCAGTGCTGCTTATCCGATTCCTCCGGTACAGTCAAATGACCACTGGGTGTTGTTGAGATCGCCAATTCTGATCTGTGCTAGCAACTCCACACCGGCAGATAATGAGGACGGCGGCACACGTACATCCCTCAAGCACCAAATAGTGAAGAGTTTAAGGAAAGATCGAAAGCTTGGGTAGATATCGGAAGCTCAGGTGACGGAGGTTTTTGCTATGGGAAACAGGCGTGTTCCGATTAATAAGAAAACCATTCAGTTGTATGACCCTTTCGGCGCCCAACTGCCATGCCACCCGAAGGAACCACGAGGGCTGGGATACTGACAGGTTGCCCAAGCCTAGACAGGGGAAGTCAAGAAGTAGAGGTCGGGTTCGAACCACGGACCTCTTATGGGGGCTTATTAGCGGTACATATTCAGGCCGCACTGAGAAATTTGACACATGAGACGAGTACGTAGCCCCTCCTCCACCAACGCACGCGAGAGAACCTGAATTGTCAGGTCAGTCACACGGGGCAGGCCATTTTTTTATGAATGGAGAAAGATTCTGATAAAAGGCTCTAAGGCGTACATGTAGGTGTTCGAGCCGGTGCACAGAATCCCGCTTTCCATGCGTAATTGAGGGGCACGTGACCACCCCAGAAAAGGAGTGTGGCAGCAAAGGAAGTAATATTATAAACTGAAAGCCAAAAATTAAAAAAAGACGTAAACTTGGAAATCACGTGACTGAAGTGCAAGGTAAGGACTGGCCTTCATTCTACTTGAAGCATAACCAGACAATGACGGAGCTATTCAACGGGGATAACAATAAATAAATAAATCGTTCAGCTGTGGCATCCTTTCGGTGCCTAGCTGCCATGCCACCTGAAGGAAGCACGAGGGCTGGGATACTGCCAGGTTGCCCAAGTCTAGACAGGGGAAGTCGAGAAGCAGAGGTCGGGTTCGAACCACGGACCTTCCGGTCAGTAAATTCACGCTCTAACCACTTGCGTCACCTCGCCCCTATTCTAGGAGGATAGATGTAGAGCGGGTCCTCTAGGATGTGAGATCAGGTCAGACCACCTGTCCAGCACTCGCTCGGACAATGCCGGAGGCCTTGATTGAGAATCCTCAACCATATGATTGATTACAGGTTTGTGTGATGGGTCAATTTCAAATTAGCATTGTAAACCTGTAACGGGGCCAAAGCTTGTGGCTATCATGAGCGAATTATAAACACCAGCTCCGTTCCAGATTGTTTGTAAACACCATCACCAAATACTACTTGACTAGATCCATACGACACTGTCATAGCATGTCTGTTCGGTTTCAAACCGTCCTGAAACGAAATGAACTAGAAGGGTGGCTTTGCAAACGAATTTAACCAAGGAACAGGACAAGCCGTTTCCTGACTAGCAGGTTTTCCAACTAAGTTTGAGAAAATTGAAAGTGAACTGTGCGCAGTTTTTAAGCTCAAACCGCGTTTAAACTGAAGCGTAACGTTTGTTGTGGGCCATCGCATTCAGAATCATTCATATACTCCTTGGTTGAGTTTGTTTTGTCTCCCATCATGAAAAGATTGAAATAGTTTATGCAGCCGAGTTTCGTGTTGATACGTTCGTAAATTTTTGTACCCTATTCAGTTTTCCTTAGCAAGATGCAGTGGTTAGTGTTTCATACAATGGCACCAAACTGCAACAGACGCAAAATGACCAGATGCGCCTGTAGCGGACTCCCTCGTCCCTCGAAAATCATGCGCCGGTCATAAGTGGGGAACAGCTTCTAATGAAATTCTCACTGGAAAGCACACACGGCAGTGGTCATGATTGATTACAGTGGGACAGGGGGTAAAAATGGAGGCGGGGGTTGAGGAAAGAAGCGTGGCGCGGGATCGCTCGCATCACCACTTGGGCCCTGAATGCGGACCATTTATGTGTGGTGTTTCCGTCAAAATAGCAGTTGACGACAGATAGGTGCGCGTTGGTGTTGAGAGTTTGGGACCAGAAGCAGCGTTCTCAACCAAGAAAAGGCCACTCCGGGCATTCAAACTGCCAAAGTGGGTCTCATAAGCACCATAGAGTGTTGCCGCTACAAGATACCGGCGAGGTATGAGGCAACCTGCTTGGTCAAGAGACACGTAGTGTTCAGAAGCGGAGATAATCACTCACCTGCCAAAGTCACATATTTTCAGTATACCCGATTCAGGATTGATGAGCAGGTTCTGGGGCTTTATGTCCCGGTGGCAGACATCTAGGCTGTGAATATAGGCCAGGCCACGGATGAGTTGGAAGCTGTACAACTGGAAAACAGATACAAGACGGATTAAATAAAAGATGGCGACTCATCAAACAAGTGATTTATAAAAAATCCATCCGTTCCAGTTTGAAGAGAGTATTTCCCATCTCCAAAAGGATAAAAAGCCAAGCCCAGAGAGTTCACAGCGTTATTTCTCTAGCAGTGATTCCTCCAGGGGAGTATGACCATTTATGGATAACCAACAGCAAAGTCCTTTAAGGGTCGCATGGAAATCCCGACCTATGAGAGTTACAAAACGCAAGCTGAGGAACTTATGGCTTCGAAGAGGCTTGTGGCTAGACAACGACCCTGATAAATCTAGGACTGATCCTTACATCGCAATGTTCATGACTAAACAAGACTGCCACTCTACATGTGGTACTCCTTTAGTCTGTCACTAAGGCCGTCGGTCGTGATATTTACATCTGGTGTAGTATATTTGTGCGGCACGCAGTGAAACTAAAGAGTTATGGCTTGAAAGTGAATAGGGTCATGACACAACCTTCCAAGGCAAAGTATACTTAAAGGATATATCTCATGTGCCACCAGTGCTGTTACTGGAGAGCTGAGCAACACAGGTGATTGGGAATGAATTGAAAATACAATTTCGAAACTACCTCAGCATAGGACAGAAGCTGATATTCGGGTAGCAACCATGTCAAGGGGAGGTTTTTAGGATGAGTATGCGGGAGTTCGTGGGACCGTTTCTGATTTGGAGGGTGATTAGAGATCCCGATAGAAACACCTCGTTAGGCGACGGAGAATGAAGGACGGTTATTAACATGTCAACACTGCGAGACCAGCGAACACTTAGTTACACACTGTACACGTAAACTTCACAATTGTTGCGTAATCACCCGCAATCTGATACAATTCAGCTCAGTTGTATACATGCATCTCCGAAGTGAGGGAGTCCAAAAGTCTGCTTTCTTTCGAGAGAAACAAGGGTGTTGCAATAGCAAGTAAATGAAGACATCATGATTGATACCAAATGAAACCCTACCAAAAAGTTTTTGAGGTCCTTAAAAGGAAACGCACGCAGTATTTATAGTCCTGGGCTAGAGAGCGACGAAGCACAGGAGTGTAGACTTACTTTGACCAGAGCCAGAGGTATTACCTGTCGTATTCGCCAGTAGTGTTTGATTAAGCGACTAAGAGTTTGCGGTATGAATTCTTGGACAAGATTCAGGTAGGTCTCATTTGGTTTCTGAATAAAAATAGTAAGTGTAAGAACTTCCAAAATGAGGCTCACCGATGAGGAAACGGAATAAAAGTAATAGTACAAAGTCACAACGTTTGTGTGGTGCATTTCTTTCAATATTTGTAATTCTCGATTCTGGAAGATGGTCAGATTAAAGTGGACGCCACACAACTAGGTCACCTTGTATCGTTCGTCCTGGAGCACTTTTTTGATTGCAACTTCTCGATCCTCGCCAACGCACAGAGTCGCCGAGTAGACTACTCCAAAAGAACCGGTGCCGATCACCTTCACGTTTCCATAGCTAATGCGCGCCGTTGCACCCGAGGGGACATGGACCGCATCCACAATGACCTCGCCTTGCTCTGAAGATCAATACGAGAACGACTTATTAACTAATGTGACAAAAATGTAGTTGAACTGGAAGCAACATTCGGAACATTCAAGCATAACGGGCATCTGTGAGAGGGGACAGATACCAACACAGAAATAATAGCAAATGAAACCGGGGTTTTGGATGAACTTGAGGTTTTGTAATATTTGCCATGAACATCGAGAAGATTACGCATATTGGTGTTACTTGATGATATCTGATCCAAGCCAATCACTCTAAAGAACCGTTTACAATCAGTAACGATTAAAGCTAGAGATGAGACGAGATGCGACCGGGGAATCTGCGTCCTCGGTGATCTTCAACGGATAGCATATGATATCCGATATACGGGTCTGATAGCTTTGAAGGCGATTCAGGTTAATGAACTAAATTTTCTGTTACCTGAATCAAACTAGGAGGGGTTAAGTAAAGCTGGGGATGTCAATAAAAAGTTTCACCCAGACTTTTTGTACTGTTCTTCCAAATCGCACGATGCTAACCTGTTGACCTATGACACATTGGAGGTGACAGAACAGCATGCTTTTCGACAGGTGATACAGTATATCATACAGTACGGTGATTTGCGGAGATCGAGGTTTAGAAACTCAGGTATCAGACGCACAATAGACTACCTCATAACAAACTTGAGATAGCCCCAGCTACGGTCGTGATACGTCCTTGGTTGAATAACTGAGAATTTCCGAAACCCTCAATCTACGGTTATCATATGAAAAAGCCATAGTAATTAAGTGTCGTTATGTACAAGTGATGTTTTGCTGTCGGTGACGATGATGGTGGTGACTTGAAACAAGCACCTCTTGATATTCAAAAATTCTCAAGGGCGGTCGAATAGATTCGAGCTTTTTTGAGTTCGTGCGTCGGTTTTAGTAAACAAATACAGCGAAACTATCTCAACCAACGGAGAAGTTTGACAGCTGCCCAAATGTGGTGTAGTGTCAATGTAAACTCCGTTCCGTCATATCACCTAATCAGGTGGGGCTAGGATTGTTCGCAGAGGTGAAATCAGCAAAAGTGACGCTACTAGTCACTCTCTAAGTCTGAAACGGAAAAAATATTTATTTGATCATGTGGTAAAAAGTTGCCTACAAAAGCTTCACTTCAGCGGCGTCGTCACCTCGGCAGCACACAGCTGATTGTGACGAAATCTTACCGCGGTGTGACGATCGCGCACCACCGTAATCCACTGAATCTACACTTGGAGGTGTACACGTATTTACTCACAGAGCCTTTCATTCCAGGGTGGTCAAGTTACAGGATGGACTAGATGCCTCTTGGCCCTTCGACTGGCAACTTGCAAACGTAGGCTATTCTGAAGGTCTTAAACCAACCGCCGCTGCCTTGTGACTAGGCTTTTAGCCAAAGGTGATGGCTGAGGACCTTATTCGTCCTCCTGTCCAGGTTTAAGAGCCCTGGCAGTATTCCAGCGTTAGTACAACCACTTGATAACAAAATATAAAAAGGCGTTCAGCTGCAACACGTTTTCGGTGCCTGGTGGCCATGCCGTCCAAAAGAAGTACAAGAGCTGAGATACTGTGTACAGCGAAACTATCTCAACCAACGGAGAAGTTTGACAGCTGCCCAAATGTGGTGTAGTGTCAATGTAAACTCCGTTCCGTCATATCACCTAATCAGGTGGGGCTAGGATTGTTCGCAGAGGTGAAATCAGCAAAAGTGACGCTACTAGTCACTCTCTAAGTCTGAAACGGAAAAAATATTTATTTGATCATGTGGTAAAAAGTTGCCTACAAAAGCTTCACTTCAGCGGCGTCGTCACCTCGGCAGCACACAGCTGATTGTGACGAAATCTTACCGCGGTGTGACGATCGCGCACCACCGTAATCCACTGAATCTACACTTGGAGGTGTACACGTATTTACTCACAGAGCCTTTCATTCCAGGGTGGTCAAGTTACAGGATGGACTAGATGCCTCTTGGCCCTTCGACTGGCAACTTGCAAACGTAGGCTATTCTGAAGGTCTTAAACCAACCGCCGCTGCCTTGTGACTAGGCTTTTAGCCAAAGGTGATGGCTGAGGACCTTATTCGTCCTCCTGTCCAGGTTTAAGAGCCCTGGCAGTATTCCAGCGTTAGTACAACCACTTGATAACAAAATATAAAAAGGCGTTCAGCTGCAACACGTTTTCGGTGCCTGGTGGCCATGCCGTCCAAAAGAAGTACAAGAGCTGAGTGTGAGTGAGGAGCAGTCGAGATGCTGGGGTTGGGTTCGAACAGCGGGTATTCCGGTCAGTAAGTCCGCACCTTAACGACTATCTCATACAACCACATATAACCTCATTCCACATCGGCCGTCCCACCAGTCGAGTCGCCTTATTTCTTGCATAAAACTGGGCTGGTAAGCGAAAGTAGGCCACCGCAGACGTCTGTCGCTTTTCATCATCCATTAATCGCTCTCTCCCACCTACCCACACCCCATCAACGATATCTTCGTGGGCCCATTGGGAAGGATTGAAAGATCAGTCCGCCATCCGTTGCCGTTTGTTGCGAAGTTTACAGTTAACTCGGCCACCAACGCTGTAGACACTTCGAAATCACGCGTCAAACCCAGGTTGACCTGGCAGTCTCCAAACTTCGCAGTCAGGAACAGATTGGACAACAGGCTGCTCCTACATGTATGTTGGATTTCAATTCTCCGAGCTGTCTCACTGAAACGAGGATTCCAGACCCCGTTGGGGTTGTTAAACGATCTACCCATCAGTTTATTCCTGCTTCCGGTTGTGCAATCCTGATGATTCTGAAGCCGCTGCGGCTGATTGAGCCACCCAGGTGAAGGGTCTCTGCTTGAATGGTTCCCCGTTGAAAGTCGCTTCTGTGAAGTTCCTTCGACAACTTCTGTAAGGCACCAATAAACGCTGCCGGTTCAATGTAGCCGCTTACGCCCAAAACTGTAGTTCTGATACGTCTGAGTATTTTAACCCCTCCCCATTTTTTTGAACTGCTCACTCTGAGGCATTCTTCTTAGAGTTAACTAGTACCCCTTTCTATATGAAAGTTATGCAAACTTAGCGCTCTTTAATGTGTAAATTTGTGTATTCCTGTAAGTGATCGATTTGAGTTTGTGGCTGGCCTGCAGTTCGAGGACACCAAGTGGCCACGGGGTTTCGGCTATTTCGGAAGTTAGTACTGCATAAAACCAGACATCTATCAACTTGCCACTTGTGAGACTCCTTCACAGACGTTGCCAGACAAACTGCACAGAGGCGACTATCAACAGGTATCCAGTCGAGTAGGGATACTTCCGCCCGGTGACTTAGCACAATACCAACCCCTGCACATCCCGCCGCAGCAGCTTCTGGATCACCAGAGGTGCGGAGCCGGAAGCGAGTAGAGACTGATAGGGCAGTTAGCTCAATAACTGTGCTTGCATCTTGAATTCTCGTTTCTGAGACACAGCACACATCAATGCCAAGCGAGTCCAGTGTGAGTGCAAGAGCAGCTTGTTGTCCTGCTTGCTTCAGAGTGCGAACATTGAAAGCGGCCAGATAGA